AGGGATGCAATGAAAGAGGAAAATATTTTGGCTAAATTCATAGAAGTCTATTCAATATAAATCTTAAAAGTAATCAACAATTTGAGATTGTAATAACAAGAGGTTAGCAGTCATCATGATAAATAGAGTTAAGATTTTCTTCAAACTATATCAACATTGTTGTATTTAGAACCTCTCAAGACCTGATGTAAAGCTGTAGGTCAAGTTTGACGATCAAATATTCAAACTACTTTAAGGATAAACTAATCAAGGTAATACTGGGAGTAATAGTGATTATAGTAAAGATTAATTGTAGAGAAGATTTAACTTTTTACGGAAATCCACAGCGCTATGCTGTCCGAAAGTCTTGTCTCCTTTATTGTTTATTTTATTATTAACCTAGCCTCAAATTCTTATCATAACCAGCACCGGAACCAGAATGTGTTAATGCAAGACATGCGGTTGCAAATCACAGAGAACAAATAATTGATGGCAGCAGATAAAATAATAGCTGCTCACATTATTCATGCTCAAGATATCATTAAACTTTGCCATTTTCTGAAAACCCTTAATCACCTACGTTTTTCATTTTACTTTCTAGTCTTTAGATTCATTGCATTTATTTAATTATTGTTTTATCTAGGCCGTTGTCTATTGTTTATCAAATAACTTCCTAGAGGACAAACGTTGTAGAGAGCTCTTCTATCTGGGTTGCGTCGTCTTGCAAAAGCCTATAAGTCTTGTTCTTCTAGACAGGAGCAAGTCATGGCAGGAATCAGAACTTGGACTTACTTCTGCTGGCGCTGTAAGTAATGCCTCTTGCATTTCATAAAACGTAATTTAAAAAATATTTCTTCTATACTTACTAATCTACTTCTCTTCTCGTAAAATCCCGTCTAGAAATACATCAACTTTTCGAGAACTAGTCAATATAATGATAAAATTCAAGAACTTGTGGATGAAATAGCAAGCCGCAGCAAGACAAAAAAAGTGAGCAATTAAATTAGAAAATAAGTCTTTATTACTGCACTTCTACTGCAGGAAGCGCCTAATTCAGTTCCATATTTTTATTTACGAATATGGTAAATATTTAGGAAGCTTCTGCTAAAATAAATGTCTCATTTAATCGCAAATGCATATAGTGATCATGTAACAAAATTAGTTAACATTTATTCTAGGTGGGCCTATTTTCTATTTATTAATCCAC